ACGAAGGCTTACTACCGGTTTGCTGCGCACATCGGGGAGTCGGGCATATGCCCGAGGTCCATCGGGTCGGGCAACCGACGATTGTCGAGGCTTCGGCGAGCTTTTGAATCTGGGTAAGGCATTGTAATTGGGTGAGCGAGAACTAGCTAGAATGAATGACTGAGGCCTAGCCTCAGGCCTGTACACCACTGAAGAATTAGCCACATCCATGAGCTATGAAAGGGAAGTACACCGTACACGCCGTTTACCGAGCAGCCCGAGCATATATGCACCGACTAGTGTCTTCCTAATACATTTTTATAGCACCCCGTAAGTATAGATCGGGCACGCGGGAGTGTCATGGACTCACGGATAGACGCATTTCGTTGGACTTGAGGATCCAGTTTGCTTGAGATGTGTTGCATGACGTACTTCCTGTGGGACCCATGATCGCCCAGCTTACCCACTACCCCACCTTCTTATATTGTGCACGTCGGAGCTCGTCCGGCCTCGGTCATTCTGTGTTCAGCGCTTATGATTTCAGAATCATTGCGTATAAAACACGCTGTACCCAGTGCAGGCGGCATCGCATTGGCATCCTTCGCTAGCATTAGTAACAACATGTCGACGCAAGGCCAGAACCCCCTTCAAGGCGTGCAGGCGTTCGTCTTCGACGTCTTTGGCACCGTCGTCAACTGGCGCAAGGGTGTATCCGAGCAGCTCGAGGCCAAGCTCGGCGCAGTTGTGCCCAACGAAGGTCAGCGCCAACCTCTCCACCAAACTTTCCGGCAGTTGACTGGTAGTCAGATTGGGAAGCTTTAGCAGTAGAATGGAGGGAGAATTACTACAGGAGGACGTGAGCGCACGGAAGGTCGCCCACTGGCCAGCTATTTCCCACTGACTTCTGATTCTAAGCTTTGCCGGGGCGGCGGGCGATGGGCGCACGCTCAACGTCGACAAATTGCATAGGGAGGTCCGCATCGCTATCTGCCGTTCCCGTATACTATGATCGATTGAATCGCCTCTGCAGCTCCTCGACGAAATCCTTGCGAGCGACCGTTGGAAGCACGTCGCTCCGCACCTCGACAATGCCGCGCGTCACGAGGTCGTCCTCTTCTGGCACCGCCTCCCGGGGTGGCCGGACACGACCAAGGGGCTATACGGCATGAAGAAGCATGCCATCATCGGGACGCTGTCAAACGGCAATGTACGCACCCTGGTAGACATGGTGCGTCCTATACCTTCTCTTCATGTCGATGAAGTGACGAACGGCGGGGGCGAACGAACCGTGCGGCGGGCTGCAGGCAAAATACGCTGACCTTCCCTGGGACGTCATTCTGTCAACAGAGCTCCTCGGGTCTTACAAACCGTGCGTCCCTCCATGCCCTACTGTGGATTAGCTTCCCTCAGAGCTGTGCTCATGTCCCTTCCCAGCAACCCCAAGATGTACCTCGGCGCCGTCAAGCATCTCTCACTTACTGACCCCTCCCAGCTCTGCATGGTCGCGGCACACATCTACGACCTCCGCGCCGCCGCGACGCACGGTATTCGTACCATCTTTGTACGGCGCCCGCGCGAGCCGGACGCTCCGGACGACGTGCGCAGCAAGGCGGAGGGTGGCGAAGTTGATTTGGTGGTCAACAGCTTTGAGGAGATCGCGCAGGCATTAGAACAAAGACAGGAAGAGAAGCAGGTCTGGCAGCACTAGAGGAGGCATGAATGAACAGAGAATCGTGAGTCTAGTTACGACGTCAAATGCCAAGTCAGTCAAATGCTTGAAATGGACGTGTTGAACTCCGAAACGCGACGCATGGCACGTGATCGTGTCGCCTTATATTTGGGGTTTATTACACCTCCAGCTACAAGCTTGAGGTGTGAACGTGAACGTCTCTCCCTAGTCATGCTCGGTACAATCCCAACTCTGGACAAGCACTGCGCAAGAGGAGTCACGGAAAATTCCTTCGCTCTGGCTCTGTGGTACGAGTGCGAGGTGAAAGCCGGATTAGTGCTATCGAGGACGACAGCTTCAAGTCGGAGGCCCCGGGACTCGCGAAGGGGAAGCGAATTGCGATGAAATGCTACCTGGCTATTGTCCGCTTAATACCTCGTACATACAGGAACCTGGAAGGCAGGCCACGGTGGATTAACAATGGCATGAGCGAGTCGCGCGAAAGGGGTACGACGGTTCTATAGTGCTGTAGGTGCACAGTGTCGCAGTGTAAGTTATCTCCACGCCCAAGGGCTTATCTCACGGTACGTACTCTCGACCACTGATAAGACATTGGGTCGCGGTCCAGCGTATGTACGCGGAGTTCCATACCCCCGGCGCCCCGAAGAAACGGTCGTATCGACTTCGCTGTCCCTCTTATCGCCTCAGTAGTAGTGTGGCCACTGCGGGGCCAAAGTTCAGACGAGCCGCCGCTGAGCGGGGCTGCGTGTCACCGCATGCGTGGGGATACGTACGTACAAAGGTCAAATGGAAGCCCCACCGGCGCCGTCGGTGAAGTTTGCTCTCGACGCCCTCTCTAGTAGGGGTACTTCATGTCCACTTTAGACGAGTCTGTCAGGCCGCCGCTCTCACAAGGCCAGTTCCCTTCCAAGTTATTGTTGAACACCGTACTCATTTTTTTTCCATTTCAGGAGTTGGCTATGGGATCGTCTGTGGGGTCGGCGCGCTCTTCGCGGTCGGAATGTGGTGGGTGTCGCGGATGCTGGGCAGGTTCCAAAACGAGGTGCAGGGCTCGGAGATGTTCATGACCGCGAAGCGGTCTATAAGCACGGGGCTAATCGCTTCTGCGGTGGTCTCTGGGTGGACGATCGCCGCGACTCTACTTACGTCGACCGCGTGGACCTATGAGTTCGGCGTCTCTGGCGCGTACTTCTATGGTGCAGGTGCCTGTATACAGATCTTCGTCTTCGCCGTGAGTGCCCTTGCGGTACATCTGAGAAGCCGGAGGTACTCATTGATATGTCTTCTCGTCCAGGTCTCCGCCATCGAGCTCAAAAGACGGGCCCCAGGCGCACACACGTTCATGGAAGTGTCGCGGCTGCGCTATGGCACGACCGGGCACTGGATCCAGATAATCTATTCGACGATGTATCAGATCATCAACTGCGTCAACATCCTGGTCGGTGGCTCCGAGGTTTTCGAAGCGTTGACAGGCATGAATGTCGTCGCTGGGTGTTTCCTGCTGCCAGTCGGTGTGGTCATCTACACCCTAACCGGTGGGATCAAGGCGACCATCCTTACCGACTACACGCACACGATCATTATCTATGCACTGGTGTTGACTGGCCTCTTCGTTGTCTACAGCTCGTCTTCCCTCATCGGGTCTCCAGACGCCATGTTTGAGCTGCTGAAGGAGGCGGCTGTACGATCACCTGTGGCGAATAACGCTGGCGGGGAGTACCTCACTATGAGCTCGCAGAGCGGTATTCTTCTCGGTGTCGTATTCTGGTGCGCTGTCTTCGGAACCACTGTCGATGTTCAATTATACCAAAAGGCTATTGCTGCGAATCCTGCAGCCACATTGCCGGGTTACCTCATCGGAGCATTGGCTTGGTTCTGGTATGCCACTTCTTGTTCCACGACATATATGCGGGTTGCTCATATCGTATGCAGTATCCCATTCTGCCTTGCAACGACATTTGGTTTGGCATGTCGTGCCTTAGAGAACACGCCAGAGTTCCCGACGTATCCACGCCCGATGACAGCGACTGAGATCTCATCTGGCCTCTCCCTCCCGTACGCCGCGATTGCGCTCATGGGCAAAGGCGGCGGCGCATTCGTGCTGCTCATGACCTTCATGGCCTGCACGTCCGGCTTCTCCGCCGACCTCGTCGCCGTCTCCTCCGTGTTCGTCTACGACGTCTACGGCACGTACATCAACCCCCGCGCGACGGGCGGCCGCCTCGTCCGGCTCTCGCACGCCACGGTCATCGTCTGGACGCTCTGCATGTCCGTCATCGCGACGGGTATCACGCGGACGACGATCGGCGTGAACTATCTGGTGACGTGCATGGGCGTGTTCACGTGCTCGTGCGTGTGGCCGATGTATTGCACCGTGCTGTGGAGGGCGCAGAACAAATGGGCAATCGCGCTCGCCCCGCCGCTCGGGAGCATCACCGCGATCGCGTCGTGGCTTGGGTCCGCGTACGCCCTCGAGGGCTCGGTCACGGTCACGACGACTTCGGAGACGCTCCCTCTGGTGATCGGGAACTCTGTCTCGCTCGTCTCTGGCGCGTTGTATTCCATCATCTTGACGTATGCGCTCGGGCCGCAGAACTTTGACTGGGAGATCCTGAAGGCTGGTGTTCGGGTGATCGATGACAGTGATGTCGCGGGGGTCACTGAGGAGCAGCTCAAGCAACAGCTCGCGGTCGAGCACCTTTCCGTACGAGACGAGCGGGCGCTGTACCGGGGCAAGATCGTCGGCAGTCTCATGGCCATTGTGAGTTTTCACCAATTCGTCTCATCTTCCTGACTGATCGTGCGCAGGGCCTGTGTCTAATCTTCATCGTCCTTATCCCGCTCCCGATGTACTTTACGCACTACGTCTTTTCGCGGCATTTCTTCCGAGCCTGGGTTGCAATCACCTTCATTATCGCGTGGATCGCGACCCTAGTCATCCTCCTGATGCCGCTCTACCAGGGAAGACGTTCCCTCAAGCTGTTCCTCCACTACATCCACGGCTCGCGCGCAGACGTGCTGGTGCAGAAAGGGGCACCAGAGGTCGCGTCTCGAGACCCCAGCATTGACTCTGAGGCAAATGAGAAGGGAGATGGGATGCTAGCCAAGAAGAGAGTGGGTAGTGTCGAGGTAACATCTACCTATGCGCGGAGTGTGGAGTGATAGACCAATCGCCAGCGCACCATGGCACATACAGTTGTAGAACAACGAACATGTACGGATCGACTGTACGATATGTCCAAGCGGCTGAGTTTCACGGGATGATTGGGAATCGAATGGCAATGTGTACGCTTAGTGATTACTTGTTGCGTGCCAGGGTCTGAAGGCAAAAAGGCCTCACCGTGATTCGAACACGGGACCCTGCGATAGTCGACTACTTCAACACTGCAATCGCATGCTCTAAACCGCTGAGCTATAAGGCCGACAACATCGGATATAATTGACTGTTGATCATCAATGAACAGACTGCTCCGAGCGTAGGCGCCGATTATGAATATGGGCGTTAATTCACGCATGGACCGAATTTGAAGAGTGCTGGGCAGCCCTTCCCAATCCCGCCGGCTGCGCTGCAAAGCAATCTCCAACTGAACTCGGGTCTGGGTACACCGTTTCTCTCGTTAACATCAAAGCTTTAGGACGCGACTCCACTCGTTCGGACTCGGAAGGCTTCCCAATTAAACATCGAGTGTCTCAGTCGCACGGTCGCGGTAGTCCTGGATGTCTACAGGCACGGCCGGAGACAGATCTGCCAGAAGTGAAGCTAGTCAAGACGCGAACGCGAACGGCCATGTTCAGGCTCCCTCAGCACCCGCCGAGACTCCCGGAGCACGCACCTCAGTTGATCATGGCATGCCATCTGCACCCGAGGTCCACCTCAATGGGCGGCCCGCCTCAAGCACGTCCCTCGGGCGCAAGTCGCGGTCGAGCAGCCTCGCAGGAAGCACGATCGTCGGCGAGGGATGGGGAGCCAACTTCTGGGTCACGCTGGCTGATCCGCAGGTGCTTGTCAACTCTGTATGATACCGTTGCGGAGCGGGCTGACACGACAAGTAGACCCAGGTGTCATTCTACGCGTGCCCGGCGACGGGAGAGGTTAGCTGGGATCCGCCTATTGGAAACTTCCTGTAAGTCCTTGCCCCCATGCACCCGATACCGCCCTCAATAGTCATGCAGATTGCCTCCCAATCCGGAGGGCGAGTGGTGGGAAATGATTGACGACTCGAGCGGGCTGCCCTATTACTACCATACAAAGTCGGGAGAGACCGTCTGGGAGCGTCCGGATGCATTCGTGATTCCTTTGGGCATCCTGCAGGTGCGACGACCAGTCGCGTGGGATGCACTGTACTGACTGTCTGGCAGAATACGGCGCTAGGCCGCCGATTATCTGCTCGTCGAATTTCACCCAAGGATCCTGCAGGCGAGGGTAAATCTGAGAGGGTGCCGTACCGTCGCTCGACCTCTAATCGCAGCGACCAAGACCTACGCAAAAGCACCACCCAGCAGAGACGCCGCTCGCACTCTGCGACCCGCAGCTCGCCCTCCAAGACGAGCGCCAGTCCCGCTGCAAGCCCTGCTCCCAATAAGAAGTCGTCTCCGCATAGGCCGGCGGCAAGCAGCGACCATGTGCGCTCCGGCACGTCGAGTGGAGGTCCACTCGCGTATCCTCGTGGACACCCACTTGCACCTATACCAGGCTCGCCGTACATGTCGGACGCGTCAGCTACGGCGCCCTCGCGCAAGTCCATGTCTGCAAAATCCATGAACGACAGGTATGCCAAGACCCAAGATGCGGCCAGGGAGGAGCAGCAGCAAGAGGAGGAAGACGGGACGAAGCATAGGCCGAAACACGACAGTTCGACTCTCGGCCGGTCACGATCAAAATCGTCTAGCTATCTCTCCTACCGCTCGCCCCAGCCTCAGAGTCTGTCCGCGGCACTCGAGATGATCGCGCTGTCCGACTCGCACTCCACGGCGTCGACGGCGTCGACAGACAAGATGCGCACGGCGTCAGAGAACGGGCATGGCGAACGTTCTGCGACGCCGTCTCTGCTCGACCCCCGCAAGCTCCGGATCAGCACCGACAACGGCCACGGGAACGGCCTGCACACTGCCCCTGCCTCGCCGATATGGGCAATCGGCAAGAAGAAGGAGAAAGCAGCCGTGCCACCGAGCCCGCGACGCCCCATACCTGCGTTGCCACATTTTGCCGGTGGACGTAGCATATCCACCCCGACGCCTGCGACAATCAACGGGAAGGTGATTAGCACTCCGATTTTTGACCCAGGTGCCGCAACTGTCATTTGCATTTGTTGGCAACTAGACTGATTCTTGATTCAAGACGCGACAAAGGGCATGAACCAGGCCATGAACCCCGGCAGCGTTCCACCGGAGCTCTACCGCATGCCAACGCACGTATCGACCGCCTCGCTCAACACCGGGTAGGTCTCTGGAGCCTGGGATGGAGCAGCAGCAGTATATCTGACTTGTGATCACCAAGCAAATACCCGGTCCTCCCCCACGAACTGTCCTCCGATATTCAGCAGTTTGCCGAGTCGCATTTCGCGAGGCAATATTTCTCAACTCACCGCGTCGGCATCTTCTTCAAGCGGAAGATTCCCGTGGAGCAGATGATGACCTGGCAGAAGGTCCGTTCCCCTCCGCTATATGCTCGTATCTTCGCTCATACTCCTTCAATAGACTCCGCTGAGCTCACCGTTATTGCAACTCAACCGGTCCCTGCACAAGAACGCACTGAAGATCTTCAAGGTCATCCAGCATATCATGGGTGATCGCGAACGCGAACGCGGTATGAGGCTAGGTACCGGGACGGAGAGCCAAGTATCACCTGCCGTGCTGAACGCGTCAACGTCCTCTCTTCCGAATCCTTCGAAGGCGGCGATGCTGGAGGATGAGCGATGGTTGCTCGGCGAAGGCATCTCGCATGGCGAACTTCGCGACGAGATCTACTGCCAGGTGCTGAAGCAACTGGCCGGAAATTCGAGCGCGTGAGTGCTCCGATCACGTCGAGTGGCAGGCAGTGGTAGTAGTTGACGGGATCTGCATTTGGTCATAGGGAGAGCGTGTTTAAGGGCTGGCAGCTGCTATGCGTCCTGCTCGTTACCTTCCCGCCTTCGAAGGACTTTGAGACATACTTGCGCTCGTACCTCCAACAGGCGACGACGCACCACGAAGGACGCGTCGACGTCATGGCAAAGTACTGCTTGCGGCGCTTGGCGTACATCTCACGCAAAGGACCGAGGGGTAAGCCACCTACGACGACAGAGATCGAGACTGCATCGGTGAGCGCACTTTTAGCACATTACAGGTAGGTCATTGACAGCGCTTTGACGGCACAGGACGCTGCATTCCACCCTTCTATCTTCGGCGAGTCCTTGGACACGGTCTTCCGTCTCCAAGAGCGGTCATATCCGCACATGAAGGTGCCAATCGTTCTCCCCTTCCTCGCAGACGGCATCCTCGCCCTTGGCGGCACCAAGACGGAGGGTATCTTCCGTGTGCCCGGAGACGGCGATGCCGTGTCAGACCTCAAGCTCCGCATCGAGAAGGGCTATTATTCTCTCGACGGCGTCGACGATCCGCACGTGCTCGCGTCGCTGTGGAAGCTGTGGCTCCGCGAGCTCTGCGACCCGCTCGTGCCGGACGAGCTGTACGACGAGTGCGTCCGCGCGAGCAAGAGCCCCGAGGCGTGCGTGGGCATCGTGCAGCGCCTGCCGACGATCAACCGCCGCGTCGTCCTCTTCGTCGTCAGCTTCTTGCAGCTCTTCCTCGAGGAGAGGGTCAGCGCGGTCACGAAGATGACCAGCCAGAATCTGGCACTCGTCATGGCTCCGAATCTGCTCCGGTGTAACTCGGAGAGCATTGCCGTCATATTTTCCAGCGCTCAGTAAGTGGCGCAGTCTCTGGCCTGATGGTAATGCGCTGAAGATGGTGGCTGGCAGATACGAGCAGACGTTTGTCCACAACCTCCTGCTTCATCTCCGGTGCGATGCTATCGACCCTGACTATATACCGACCCATGGACAAGGTGCGGTTCCTCCCACCAGCCCGCCATCAAAGAATCCTCAAGGCCGCCGTCGACCTAATCACTGAGACCGAACGTGAACACTACGCTCCTTCGTAAAACCAACAAAACTACTGGCTTCATATTCGGATATATCACTAATCTGTTGTATACCTTCCCGGGCCTCGTTCCACTCGTGTTGGATGAATATCCTGAATCTTGCATCAAAGTACAAGTAACAGATACCATTGCATCTGCGCCTCTCACCTTCCTTACCGTGCACCATCTAGTCTCTACATCCAATGCCTGCATTTTCCGGTTCGTAGAACCGAAGTCGCTTTGTACATAGCGCGTTTCGTTTTCTCTCTCTTGGCGTATACCAGTGTCGGGCACTTTGCTTGCATTCGACGCTGCACAATGGTATTATCATTGGAAACAAACTCGTATGTGCAGCCTTCACACAGGGTCTCTCTGAAATCGTCGTGCATTCCTGGCTGTGCGTTATGACATGTATCATACAGCAGCGAGATAGGACTGTTGTACGATGGCTCGAAACATGCACATGATGAATCCGTAGCGCGTTAGCAGTTCAACTGGCCAGAACCCGGGGCCGAATGAGTGTGATGTCCAGGAGCGAATGATCCAACCACGGCGCGAATAGGGTGACGATACGGGATTCAATCACGACCATGAGGCGACTCCCAGCAACACTCGTGCATCCCATGCCATCCAAATTTAGAGACACCATCGAAGTTGTGTTTGAAGGCTGGCACAGCTGACCCTCCACATTGTGAAGAATGGCATGAAAAGCCGCGGTGTAGTCGGCGCTGTTTGTCTCGTTGCGTGGTACGGCAACTTCAAGTTGGAGTGCCACGGGGGGCTGTAGCTGCATGTAGATATATAGGTTCTGGAGGTGTGGACTTGTGATGCCAGATAATAACGTTAAGAGGATGCTCTCAATTTGAAGCATCGACGGAGGCACGTCGTAGAAGAACACATACACTTCTTCCAGTGATGTATTCGATAGGAGTCGTGGGATACAGTGTGACTCTGAAACTACATTGCATGATGAGGTGAGCAACCACAGGCTAGCTCCTGATCTGATAAAGACTGACTTGTCTGACATGACCAACTCCACGTAAGCCTCTTCAGTGTTGCACCGGACATCTGCAGTGAGAGCATTACCATGCTGTGGTAGAGCTCCGCGAAGCGATCCACGAGTATAAGTTGTGCATGGCCCGTTTCGCTACATGATGTCCGAGTCTGAGGTTGCGGCGTCACAAACACGAAGGCCGGCGTAATGCGTAAGTTTAAGTGACCCGTGTTCTCGGTGCGATTTAGTTCTGCCTTGATACCATACGACGACCAGGCTCCAGTGATGAAGCTTACGCTTGGTGTCAT